TCATCACATTTTAATGTTGGTATTTGCAGAAGGAGGTACAGTGGGGAAAGAAGGCACTGCAGATCTACCTAAATATATTTATTGTGTAGAATACACAATTCTTCTAAAATAGGATGTTTGTTAGTATAAAGAAGGCATTTTTGTATATTCTATGAAATATTATTCCAGCATGATTAGATCATTGTTCCCTATATGCGGGGTTAAATATTTAACAAAATACTGAGAGAATCCCCCTCCCCCCTTTTGGAAATAAAAGTAAAGGGACCCCTGAACATTAGGTCCAGTCGTGGCCGACTCTGGGGTTGTGGTGCTCATCTCGCTTTATTGGCCGAGGGAGCCGGCGTACAGCTTCCGGGTCATGTGGCCAGCATGACTAAGCCGCTTCTGGTGAACCAGAGCAGCACACGGAAACGCCGTTTACCTTCCCGCCAGAGTGGTACCTATTTATCTACTTGCACTTTGACATGCTTTTGAACTGCTAGGTTGGCAGGAACAGGGACCGAGCAACGGGAGCTCACCCTGTCGCGGGGATTCGAACCACTGACCTTCTGATTGGCAAGTCCTAGGCTCTGTGGTTTAACCCACAGCGCCACCCGCATCCCTTTTTGGAAATAGCTATCATTTAAAAGAAAAGAAAAAACCTAGCCTCAAAACAACCTCGATTCCTGTACCAAACCATACTGTTTCACTACTGCAGCCAATCATATGCAATTGCATAACTCTAAGAATAATATGATATGGGATTTATACTAAAGTATCAATTAATGGTTGGTAATAACAAATGTATTGCAGCAATATGGTTGTATGTATGCAAATGAATACCATTCATGACTTTTACATTCTAACGAAGGAAGTACAGTACAGTGGTGCCCCGCAAGACGAATGCCTCGCAAGATGAAAAACTCGCTAGACGAAAGAGTTTTCCGTTTTTTGAGTCGTTCCGCAGGACGAATTTCCCTATGGGCTTGCTTCGCAAGACGAAACGTCTTGCGATTTCTTGCGAGTTTGTTTCCTTTTTCTTAAAGCCACTAAGCCGTTAATAGCCGCTAAGCCGCTAATAGCTGTGCTTCGCAAGACGAAAAAACCGCAAGACAAAGAGACTCGTGGAACGGATTAATTTCGTCTTGCGAGGCACCACTGTAGGCCCGCAACTTATGTGGGGGTTACTTCAGGGGATCACACCTAAAGTCAAAATTATGTATCGTCAAAACCCATTGGGTTCAATGGCGGGTGGGATTGCCAAAGCAATTTTTGCCAAAGCAACCCCACCCCACATGTCTTGAATCACAGTGGCAGCTTCACTGTGTTGTAGTATCAGTAAATCTTTGAGGATATAATGCATAGAGGCAAACTGATCCTTCCTTGTGTGAAGTTAAAGTGAGCTAGGTGCAAAGGGTAATTAATGCCATAGCACAACCAAAGCTAGCCTAAATTTAAGCAGGGTCAGAATACTGATTTCGTATTTCAAAACTAAGCTGACTTGCTGTCATATTTGATTATGAAATCAGTGGATCCTAAACTTCCTAGAAAACCATGAATTATTAGAACCCACTTTCTATGATGTTAGACTAGCCCTAGTACTGTCTACTTTGATTGGCAATAGTTCTCCCAGGTCTCAGTCAAAAGTCTTTCCCATCATCTGCTACATGAGCTTTAAAAATTATTGTGCAATGGTCCCTCCCACAGTAGTGATCCTCTGAACTATGACACACGTGTATATTTGTATGAGAATCCAATGACTGAATGGTTGAAGAACAAATCAATTCAAAAGACGACAACACAGTACTTACAGTACATCGTTTCCAGAATGGGTAGCAAAAAAGATATTGCATTTATTTTAATCAAGTCATACTGTTTGAAAGCTGAATTGCAAACCTTTGTCTTCACTTGCTGCTATTAACACTTAACATGTTAAGTGTACATGGAAAACATTGTTATGTACCTCTTAAAACTGTAATGTGTGAATCATCCGTACTGTAAGCAGATTATAATTATAGTCAACTACAGTGATAGAGAAGAGTGGGATCATAAAAGCAGAGAGCAGAATATGACATAAAGGTCAGTTGAGCCAATTTGTATTAAGGCCACCTTTTTGTCATCTTACTTATTATGTTTTCACCCAAATTTTGTTCAAGCAGCCTTTATGCGCTGTCATGGAAGAGTCATACGCTGCAGTCTCCATTATAGAACACACACAAAAGCAGGTAAATAGATTCAAATAGGTATTTTTGGCTAAATCCTATTTCTTCACAGATAACTTTGATGTCCCAACAGCCTTATAGATGGAAATTCTTCCTCAATTATGTTTCAGAAGTCACAGGTAAGTATCTTTACCCATCTTCAAATGCTTCCACTGAGACTAGGGGAAAGGCTTTCTCTGCTTTTCCTCCGCTAGGAAGGAAATCTTCTCCCTTCCTCCCAGTTGCCAATATTTCTAATAGGTAGGATACCACTTGAGAGCTGTAGGGGGTTGGATTTTGAAGGTGAGCCTCTACATGATGAAATGAACGTCCCCTGTTCCCAGTACTTTTGCCCTTATAAGCATGTATGGTTATTTCACAACTGTCAGAGTTCAATAGGGACAAGCAGGCAGAGAGGGGTTGAGCTTTTGAGTTTGCCTCAAAATTTACCACCCTATAGCTGAAGGTGGGAGATGAGGTATGCCTATCCTCTGCACATGAAACGCCTATGGCAGAGAGGCATCTCTCCCTGCTCTGTGCCACTGTTCCTCTTTCCATTTCATTTGTCCTGCTCTGCTTCCATTCTCCTTTTCTCCATCAAGCTCCTCTCTCTTCTGCCTCTTCATGTCTGCCTTTTTCTCATTGTTCTCCTTCCACTTGCCATCGCTATCTCTCCTGCCCTCACTAGCCAAGGCTCATTTCACCTTTTGAGTCGGAAGATGAAGAAGCAGTAGTTATAGGCTAAAATGACATCATCCCACAGTAGCATCACTTGCTGCCACCCCAATGTGGGTATCAGTAGAGCTGCAGAACAGGTCCATGGCACAATCCCTAACAAATCCTCTTATACTCCTATAGTGCTGCTGAGCAATAGCACAATTTGCTAGAAACGTTTTCTCTTCCTCTTTTCCCAAGTCAGTCTAGGGTGGTGAAAGAAAAACAAATCCTATCCAAATATTTTGAGGGAAGCACACTTGAGTATCATAACTCTACAAAAAAAGTCATTTGAAGAAAAAGGGGGCGGGGGAGAGGAAAGCTCATATAATACTGAATTAGCAAAGGAAGTAGCTGTCAAAGGCACAACTCCAAAACATACAGAAAACAACCAAAAGAACAACAACCTTATCTTGTGAGTCTAATCTATAATGTCTTAAAGTTGATGATGTGAGCAATTTCAAGGAAAAGTTTTATTATAAAATTATAACAATGTTCCAGCTAAACTAAAACATGTGTCACTTTTAGAATTGCCTTTTCTAAACAGCATATTTTTCAAATGTTTCTGCATCAGGCACTTTTTAGTCATGTAACAAAACAAATGGATGCAAAAGCTTGTCCCCTCCCCTTGAGAAATAGAACTGCTATTTTAAGAGACAAATACAGGCTGTGGGCAAATTAATGTTGTACTTCAGACCATTTTTAAAGTGGCCTCTCTGTGGTCTCAGAAGATGACTTAGGCTCTACAAAAGGGGAGATTTGACTTCTCCACCTCTATTTTTGTACGGGAAGGCTTGGTTCTGCTGAAATCCATAAGAAGTCACAACCAGTCTAAACATAGCCTGTTTGTAGTGGGGGGGGACGACGACGACATTTCACTCCCCAATTTCTCTCTATCATGAGACAAGTAAGATTATCTCAGAATCTGAACTAACTTATTTCTGTCTTCTTTTCTTATTTCCATGATTCTCATGAGATGGGGGAAGCTACCTTGCATGTAAACTCCCCACCACCACTCCCAACTTTCAGGATTATTCACTTCCTTGTAGTGAAGTTGGGTCTCTAACACTCCAGGTCCAGAATTCCCTATTAGGTGACTTCATTTCTAGTCTCTCCCCTCTGCCTCCAGGACAGTAACGCAGTGTATGGCCCAGAAAAAGTGTGAATTGGGTTAGTTTCTGTAATATATTAAAAATCCTTCCTATTCTGTATGTTTCTGCAGTGGTGTTTCAACACACAAAGCTATTTTGTTGCTGCTAAGTCAATTTATATTTGCATGTTATTTACCTTTAAACCATTTATTCTTTTATATATCAATATCACAGTTGCTACAACGGTGGCTATTGCCAGCTCTTTGGAACAAGCTCACTAATATTTCTTCCTTATTTCCCAGTGCTGAGTTCCACAAAGAAAGCCAAATATTCAAAAGCTACGCTGATTTCTGTGCATGCAGTTGTCTACAGTAAAGATTCCAGAGAGCATTGCTAATTCCCCAAATGAGTGTTTTCAGATCATGCACATGAAATATGCATGTCCATGGGCATATGTACAGAGACACAATAACAGACCTGGTAACAGAAAGGCATCAGAAAGGTAACCAGAAGAGTTTGCCGGGGCCTTGCCCTGACACCAAGTAAGTTTGTGGGAAGGGAGAAGAGTGGTGAAACAGAAAATAAGCACTGACTGATAGAAGCAGAACAGCAAACCCCAAAGTAAACCAGACCTGAACTGAATGGGGAAGACTTCTCAAACTGGAAGAGTTCATATTTGGGGGGTGGAGTCCAAATTACCCCCCCCCCCCGGTTATTCCTGGAAAGATTGAAATGGAAAGTTGGGGAAAAGATTATCAAATTCCTTTAAGAAAACTATTATTGTATGCACAAAGTACAATAGCTTTCAGCCTATACTTTTAATGAGACTAACTGGGAGTAGGGATGGGCAAAACAGCCTAAATTCAATCTATTTCCAGCTTCACTGGTGCTCAAATATTGAAACTGATGGTCATGTAGACTTTCCAAAGAACGCATGGAAAATGTACATTTTGCACACATCTTGCACGTACCAGTTCTATAAAATGCACACTTTTTTCTTTTTTATTGAGTTTTTGCAAGTGAACAATATCACATTTTATCCCTTACAAATAATACCATATAACACACATGTTCTATGCATTTCCCTCTAAAATACATGATTTATATGTATTTCTTTTGATGTAAAATATGTATTTTGTATGCTTTTTGGTCCTTTTGGAACTAAAACTACATTGCAAAATCTGGAGAAGTGTGTAAACTGACTATTACTTGTGTTCTGATTCATAAGTAAGCTTGTGAGCGGTGAAATGGGCAAGTCCATTGTGAAAAGTGGACCAAATTGATTTCTTCCTCATACCTAACTAGGAGTTCAAGCATAGTGTGTTCTCCCTCATGGAGAGCACAGGTTGCGGGCGGGGCTGACAAGACACCTCACTGTTACTAGGCAAATGGTTTGGCCATTCTTTAAGCAGTGGTGGGCTGTTACTGGGGTAATCTAGATGTTGCCATTTGTTGATTGACAGCCCTATTTGTTAAATACAATGCTCGCAGCAAGGAACTTCCTCTTTTCGCTGCTTACTTCAGATCACCCGCCCTCCCTTCCGTAATTTTAGGCTGTTTGCTTGACCTTGCTATGCCTATCATGGGGTCATCTGCTTTGGGGCAGGGGCCCGGTAGGAATTTTGCCATTTGGCTGATTAGTGTGTGCCACTTGGTTTTTGCCTACTGCGTAGCAAATCGTCACAACTTGTAAGGTTTGCGGTTAGGCATTGGTCTTGGAATTGGTTGGTGGAGGGGTATGGATTCGGCTGTGCCTGCCCCTCCAAAATGCTGCTGATGGTGGAGGGGTATGGATTCGGCTGTGCCTGCCCCTCCAAAATGCTGCTGCTGCTGCTTCAAGGGTTTTCCGTTAAAGGAACCCAGGGGCTCCCCATGCTTTTGTCCGAAACCCCCTGGCAAGGGGCTAGGGCCACGCAAGCCCCTGGGAGCATGCTGGGGAGAGGTGAGGCATGGTTCCCAGTCCCGTCTCTCTCCCCAGGTGACTTACCCTTCCTGACTTCGCGGGGGGTGCGAATGTCAGAGCTGTCCCCGTGCGGGGGCAGTTAGTGCTACCAATGCCTAAGCAACCACTCACATTGCTGTATTTGAATAAATTTGTGGCCAAAGTTATGCCAAAAACCTTAAACAAAAATTAAGTGTCAATTGTGTTTTTCTTTGGCGGGGTGTCTTGGGGACCTCGACACGCAACTACCCATTCTTGATACACTGTCTGATGCATAAAACAAATAAAAAATTAGCTAAGCAATCAGCAGATAGACAGTGTGTGTGAATCTGTAAAGTAAGTAACACATTTCAAAACCTTTTTAGAGTGTTGCTACTTGTGAACAGGCTGGAATAATGCAGTTCTTAAAATAGCTTTTTAGCCACTGAATGTTGCTTAATTATCTGAAAAATGCAGCAGAACCTTTCCTGTGCCCCCTTTCCCCCCTTCAGCGCACATTCAGCAATTCAACTTCACAGTTATTTATCACACTTCTTACTAAAGTGAAAGTATAATTTATACACAAAGGAAAAAATAATATTCTCAGAACTGTGCTGTATCTAGCAGCCTAAAAATATATGAAGAGGTAGTACACAAAGATGTATCGGCAGAATGGCAAGTAGTTAGAAATAATATTCCAAAGATAATATGGTAATAGTTGAGGACAACCATAATAGTTGAGGAACACCATAATCCACATTATAGAAAAAGGCTGACATAAGAGGCTTCCCGAACATTAAATAAGTATGCTTCATTTTTCTTAACAATCTATAGTGTGAATGGCCATTCTTAGATCTCATATGTTCAATAGCAAGACAACATATAATGGTTAAGGAAGTAGTCCTTGCCAATAATCCACATAATATAAACTCCCAAGTATGGATTTCATGGGCTCATTACAGTCCTTCAGTCATTCCACATAATTGAAGGATTTGTCTTAAGGAAAATTGGTAATATGCCACTGGAAGATGGTCTCTGGTCAATAATCTGTATCCTGCTGAAGATGTTTCCTGAGCAAGAAGGATTGCAAGCATCATATATTATACCCTATATATAAATAAGTAACCCACAGTATATATTGTCTAGATAACCTCTCCCAGTTTTCTTTAAAATCTTAAAATGTGTGGTGATTACACTTTATGTGAGATTGTATATTGTGAAGTGAGAAATACATGCTGTGAAGATAATATTTATGAGCAATATAAAGAGGGAGATTTCAGCATATGAAACGATAAAATGGCCAATCCAAAACATATTGTGAAAGGAGTAACAACCTTTCTTAGGCCTATTTAGGGGGAAATGTTTGTCATTTCTACATTTACCTTTTTCTAAACAACAAAATACAATAGCCATCTTCAAATATCTCAAGGGTTGTCATGTGGAAGAGGGAACAAGTTTGCTTTTTCCTGCTCTGGAGGGTAGGTCTTGAACCAATGGCTTCAAGTTACAAGAAAGGAGATTCTGACTAAACACCAGAAAAAACTTTATGACAGTAAGGCTGTTCAACAGTGGAATGGTCCCCCTCAGGCGGTTGTGGACTATCCTTCCTTGAAAGTCTCTAAGCAGAGGTTGGATGGCCATATGTCATGGATGCTTTAGTTGAGATTCCTGCATTGAAGGGGGTTGGACTAGATGACCCCTGGGGTCCTTTCCAACTCTATAATTCTATTACTCTAACTTACCTTACGCTATATAAATATATAAATGGTTTTAACTCTTGACCTCAAAGCTGTAGGTATCTCTGAATAAGACAGCAAAGTCATGCAGGACAAATAATCTGTTCAGTGCTTTAATGTGTGCATAGTTATGTTGACTTTTTAATAGCCTTCCAAACAGTGTTCTTCCCCAAGACAGATATTCAATATTTAGAGTTGCTTTTCCTCCCAAGTGATTCTGACTGTTGCCTTTTTCTTTTACTGTTCCCCTCTTGTATTTCACAGTGCATAAGTGTTAATGAGAAAGGAGGGGGGTATGTGTTTTGTTTAGGTACTGTATTCCAAACCAAACAATCTAAGCCAATTGCTGCTTCAAGTAGGCCAGCTCCAGAAGTAACAAAATCAGCTAAATAAAGTCAGTAACTTTAGTAAGGAGGGTTATTACCTGGTAGTACAACTAGAGGATCTTACGCCACACGGCATTAAGCTAGTGAAACAGCCAGCCTTATATCTGCGGCACGGTGCCACTTCTGTAATGGCCAGAAAGGGCACCAAAACTTTATGAGCCAACAAGACTAGGATACCTGAGGAACTAATTGGTGCCTCACTGCAGCATGTTATTTCCAGACAATCTAATAAATAATAATAAAACCAGATTTAAAAACAATAATTAAACTTTCAATAAAACAATCAGAAGAACCATACAGGTATCATGAAGTTCCCAGTAATATATATGGGCTGGAATTATCTTGTAGATTATTACATGAATAAATGATTAAAAAACTCAATTTCTTCACAAAAAATTATACAACTTTTTACCATATTTGTAGCTTGACCATACATACAATACTGCATTCTTCCATAGTATTCTTCCACTTATGACAAAGGACTATTCTAGCAGCAGTCAATAAATGGTAAATTAATTATTTGTTCACTGCTAATGCTATATCTTTAGTATAAACAAATAGTATAATTAAAGCGTCCATCACCTGTGTATGTCCGGTTATTATTTCAATTCCTTTTAATATATTCAACCATAAATTTTGGATAAGTACATAAATCATGTTGTATCCTGGCACTTGTTCCATAAATCAAAGTGATCAGCACTCTATGGGGTCACCGACTCAGCACCCAGAAAAGGCCTTAACTGGCACCTGCAGCGACCCAACTTTGAGGTTACAATTGAAATAAAAGTCGCTATCTCTCATAGAAAGAAAGTTATGTAGGAAAGTGTACAGGTAACCTTCTAAGCGGTTTCTGTAAAAAGAGCCAGCCAGGTTCCTTCCACCTGTTGGTGTTTTTACTCAATGAGTGATGTCAGAGCTGTGATTGATAAGTGAGTTGCTTGGACACCAAGCAATAGGAATCCTGGAGTCCTAAAGAGCTATTGTTTTCCCCTCCCCTTTAGGGCACTTTCCCTTATTTTATGTTATGTTCCAGTCCTCAGAATTTTCATAGTTTGTCCTTACCAACCATCTTTCCTGTGGTGGGTTCATCTGCGATCAGTTCCTCTCAGCTTTTTTCCCTGCAAATACTATTACATAGTAAGTGTATGTGATTAAAAATCCCCCCCTCCATGCAAAACACAAACATGGAAACTTTGCGAAGTGGCTGAGGCATGTCTCCTGCTGTGCAGAAGGTAAAGAGTTGGCATGGGAGGGAAAGCAGGGCTGTTGTTCCTTTAGCAGCTGTATAACAGGCTGAAACTCAACAGGTTAATCTTTTTCTAGCATTTTACCATTATTATACTCTATTTTGTGTTCTGCCATTCTCTCATGGCAGCCATTTCCATTATGAATAAGATTTGAACAACTGGTAGGTCTTTTTTCCAGATTTTCTATCATGACTTTAATGGAAATGATCTGTTTCAAACTTTGTATTGTTGATGGTAGGGCCTTACCACTAGACATAATGAGCTGACCAAGTGAGCACAGAGATGTGCCATACAATCCATCAGAAACTAACTGTTTGCACGGGTTGGTCTGCTTGTGTGATACATACGGGTACTACCACTGTTCCACTGCAGTATTTTACACTGAAAGCAGGTGCCAAATGGAGTGACCAAAGCAGGCATTGGATGACAGAGCTGTGTGTGGCATGCAGCTTGTCATATGTCCCTTAAGCTAGCCTGTTGCAGTCAGATGATGTGGAGGATGATAACCGCACACCGCTTCTGCATACGGAATGGTGAAATGGGGGGGGGGGGCAGGCAGCATCTTGTCATTTGCCTCCCTGACCACCTCAAACAGCAAAATGTTGGGGCTAGCCTTGTTAAATATTAATGGCTGGCTAGCTGTCAAACTATAATGCATCTCAAGCAGTTCAGCATTTATAGTTTTTACTTCTTAAGACTCTTTTTCAGATTTACTTAATGTTTTGCTAAATATTGTATTTCATGTAAGTGAGGTGGTCAGCTGACACACAGGGGGGGAAATATGACAGAGAATCACAGAAATAGTGTAGATGATGTCATTCAATGTTGTCCTGCTTGTGAAAACTGGCCATCTGCATTTTTATTTGTAGACTTATTTGGTTGCTATAGTATATAATGCAAATATAAGTTGCAAAAGAGAAAAGTTTAAATCCTTCCTATAACACCCAAGAATATATATCTCTCTCTCTGTATATGTATATATATATGTGTGTGTGTGTGTGTGTGTGTGTAATGAATAATACGTTCCAGATGTGGCCTTGAACGTTATTGAGATACACAGTAAGAGGTGCATCCAAATAACAGAATTATGATAATAAAATTTGATTATAATGGAGAAAATAAGCAGAATAATACTCAAAACTCAATTACCCTGGCCATTTTAACTGGGAGCTGCTGACTTCTGTTCCCCTAAGCCCATCGAAAATGAATTTAACATAGTAAGCTCCACTTATCAGTTGACTATAGTGGTTTCTATGTTTCCTTTTCAAGTATTTTCCTTTCTTAAAAGCACACTGCTCTTTATATTATTTTGTTCCTTTTCAAAATGAACTGAAACTTTAGCTGAATATTATGCAAACCTGGGTCCTGTTATCTTACCTAAAAAAGATCATAGGACAGCCAAATCAATTGAAGGTGAGGTACATGTGTCAAGCTATTGATGACTTCACATTTTAGTATTTGCTCTTATTTTACATATATGAACACATACAAGCACAAGCCTATCCATATGGGTTTACTCAGCAGCAGGCTCAGGAAAGTGTCAGAGGATTTCAGGCACATGTTTTTTTTCAAGCAAGTTACATTTGTTTTCTTTTTCTTTTTTTCATCCTTTTCTTTTTATTTCATTACATCCACAAGACGAGGTGGGGGAAAACTAAAAGGTTCAGTCACTTACATTCCTTTAAGCCAGAGACAGACAAAATTATATAGAATGGCAAGTTATCTTCTCCTTCCGCTTCTGTTTTATTCTTAAGAATTTTCTTTTGTTCTCAATGCAAATGGTCATTGGTTCATCTTTTCTCACCCAGGACAGTTATGTCACATCACTTGACTAATATGCATGCATTTGCCACTAAAAGACATTTTAACTGAGAGCTGTCACATCCGTCATCTCCACTCGGGCTGGTTAAAATTTTTATCTGCCGTCTTGAATTAATTTCAACTCGCCTGAGCGCAGCAGGGGACTTTAGAGTGGTTTAGTTAAATTCTTCATTTTAGAAGAGCATTATAGTAAGTCTTCCTATTTACATTTTTTCCCATCTTACTGCCTTTAATTTTTGCACATTATTGAAACAATGAGGTAATTATACATCCAGTGCAGTGGAAAAAATGTAAGGGAGTGAGAAAGCCTCAATTTTGAAATTTTATCCAAGATGAACGCTTTCCTTTCCTTCTTCCTTGCTTAATATGCTTCCCAGCTAGTTTGCAAATCAGCTCTGCCCCTGGTTAAACGTATCAGACTAATAAAAAATACAGAAAATGTAAACTGAGAATTAGAAAGGGCACTGGCAGTCAAAATAGAGAGGTCAGGAAGGGGGAAGGAGAAAATCAAATGAAAACCAGTCACCAGCATGTTTTGTACAGATTGCCTTTGCAACACTACTGAGTGTAAACAAGCCTATAATCTTTATACTACTTTAAAAAAATTCTCAACTTGCTTTTTATGTAGTATGTGCATGTTTGTGTAGTATATACACCAGCATATAATATAGTTTGGATATTATAGGTTAACAAGAAAGATCAAGCTATGCATTGGATGGTAGGGATGTTTAGAATGACTGATGACTGGTTAAAAAAATATAAATATTCTGGAAAGGTACATAAGCTAGCACTAACCTGTGGGAATATATGCACACTCAGTGACTGCTATTGGACTCTTGATAAAATTATTGTTTTACAGCTGGAAGGTGGTGAAAACATCTCTGTGTATTCTCAGCACGTTGATATCCTCAGCAACTGCAGAGAAGCTAATCCCCAAAGGCACTTTAGCTAATCTATACTAAATACTATCTGCACAAAAGGTTTGCAAGACATGTACGGTACACTTGTGTTTCAAACATCTGATATATGCATTTTGCTTCCAGGGTCCTAAAAAAGTAAATAAACAGGTGCAAGGTTTTGGTGTAACCCCATAACTGAAATGATAAAAGCGTGATTCTGACAATAGATTAAACATATATTGCAATACCATGTCCAGATAAAGTTAATTATAAGAAATAATATTTGCCTCTTTGGACATTTATTTTTGCAGTAGAATGTAAGTATAATATGAGATAATGTGAGATATGGCATGATGTAAGAAAGCAAGAAAGTGAAATAATGTTTATAAAACTTAAAACATAATCAGTCCAGACATCTGAAATGCTTAAAGGTACTGTATTTCATATCCTCATCTCAATAATTAAGTATGTTGCTGACAGAAAATTAGTCATAGACTAACCTGTGAATGCATTTTTTCTGTCTACGCTTGTAACTTCAAGATTATTCATTTGTTCAAGACTATTCATTTGTTCAACTTGTGTGGGGTAGGAAAATGCTGACAGCTGTGGAAGAATCTGCTTCTCTCCATTTCTAACATCTTCAGCATCAATAACGACTTTTTTAAAATCATAGAGCAGATTAAGCTATTTACAGTACAGCATAGTGTCAATACATATTAGGCAAAATCTGTAGCATATTAGGCAAAATCTGTAGCTTGGAAGAACACCAGGGGTTTTTCTTTCTCTAACTACAGGCATGCAAGGGTGTTTACCCTTCCCTCCCTAACCACAATTCTAATTAATATTCCCACACACTGCAATTATCTTTGAGTAGGGTGAACATTCCATTGTTGGCTACATGATCCTCCTTTACATGTTCTCATCCCACCTCATCTCAGCTTCAACAGTGGTGTAACAACAGAATTGACCATTATGTTTGAAAGAAGGAACTCTGGATGAATGTCAGTTTACTAGACAACATTTTAAACCAAGATCAGCACATGGTTTAATATTCTGGTTAGTAAACTGACATTGCCAGAGCTTTCTGTTTGGGTGCAATTGGAAACCATAGAATACAGCCACAAAGCTGGCATGTGATGAGAGGTGGGGAGGGCTGAGGAAGAAACATGTGGTCCCCACACTTACTCACAGTTTGCTGAACCATGAAGGAAGCCAATGTGTTTGTAACTACTGACTTGTCTTTTAAAATGTATTTTCAGTCCTGTAGCTTTTAATTCCTTTATTAATCTTGTAGTGCTAATAGATGGCATTTTAAACTCATAGTGATTTATGCGATGTTTAGATTTAAATACATATTCTCTCATTAAGTTTTCCCTTTTATTATTACATTACCCTTATATTATTTATTACATCCATTTATATATCACTGCAGTCTCTAAGCAATGCACAATAAGGTTAGAAAAAGTTACAACAGAGATTAAATCAATTAAAGTTACAGTTTTTATAACTCGGTTATAAAGTTCGGTATGTGATAGTTTAAAAACTTGTTCTCAAGCCTGCCTTTCCATTCTCCCTCCTGTTCCACTTTAATAGAAACCTCTCCTGTGTGCTTTCCTTCTCTAATGTGTGGTAATGTTGTCTCAACTTTAAGGACACTCAAATAATGATGTAACTCTAAGGTCCGCTAGCTTGTATCCATGAGGAAACTTTCGCATATAAAAATATCCACAAGGTCAAAACAAAACACTACACTCATTGTTAATGTTAAAGCTGCCCCAAGTGGGATTAAAATACAATTTATAGATCAATCAGATTGGATTTGTTCCCCTATCCTCTTCTCATGCTGATTCACACTTTACTCAATCATAGAACAATGGTGACTCAGCATGTTAAGTGCTTAGAAATCCAATCTGAAGTTATGGGATCTTCTAAGAAGAAAGTTTTATATGTAAGCAAGGAAGAGTCAACATATTCTTTTTTAAAGCACATACACTTCATTTATTAACTAATACACCATGATTAACAGTCGCATCTTTTCCCATTTTAAAGTACACTTAAGGGCTCTACAAAGATCTCTCTTGCCTCTTCAGTCTATTCTTCCTCCTCTTTATGGGGTAATGAGGAGCTGACAGTGATTTCTCTGCCTTCTCCCTACCCCATGCCTAGCTCTTTGGATTCAAACATGCACAGCTCATGCATAAGCAAACAGGTGCAAGGGACAGGAGTTTGCCAAACCCTGAGCAAGCATGAGGTACACATGTATCTTGCTGATTGTGGCATGCCACTGATAGAAGACGACAAGGCCAGACAATAGGTGGGGTCAGTAGGTGGCTCTTTGATTTTTCTGGCTCCCGATACTGCAGCCCCATGGGAGTTTGCAGATCGGGGGAGGGATTGCTGTCCATTCCACCCTGGAACATTAAAGCACTGGGATAGACAGCTCGTGATGCAACCGAGTTTGTTTCTCTTATTAATAACTTACACAGAAAATTACATGCAACCATAATATATTTACCCCTACTTCTTCTGTTCCTTTGAAAATAAGGAGATGATTAGTCTACCCAGATGAAGTTCATAATAATATACACAAGTGTTTGCATGATGCATCTTCTCAATTTTAAAACCTCTGTTGTAGAATAATGAGATGCTTTAATAATAATAAAATATACTTAAATGAACAGCACATAATATTTTTCCATCCATGAAGAAAGGGTATATGATCACATTTCCTCTGCATCCTTTTCCCCCCATTGCAGTCATAAAATTATAAAATCAAAACACATGCAATAAAAATGCAAGTCTACAGTAAACGCTTTATAAAGCGCTGGCAGTCAAGCTACACAGGCAGCCCAGTGGCTAGCACTGAATTCATTTCAGTTTGTATGTGCAACACAAAAATTAGTCAAGTGGAAAAAAATTGGTTTCTCTGTAAAAATGAGAAGTGTCTTTTGGAGAAGTACCTTCTTGAGATCCTTAGATTCTAATTCTCCATAAATTAAAAACTAGCCCCAATATTTCCATGGCAGCAAGAGTTTTCTCATACCCATTGTACTTTCTGTCACAATACAATTCTTTCTAGATAGATAATCATTATGTTAAGCGACAATTGTTAAAGAATCTCTATATCCTCATTTTAAAATGTCCAGGCACATGGTATGAGGGTACATGATGTATTGTAACCAACTAGTTGCAGCTAAGATCTGGTCAGTGCCTGGACAGAATACTCTCTGGGAACCCCATGTATGTCTGATGATGTAAGAAAAGTGGAACATAGATGTACTAACTAAATGAGTAAGATTAGTAGTACTTGCCTTTCCTGCCCCATCTGCATTTAGCAAACAGCAGGCAACCAGGATTTTGTCTAACCAGATGTTATATGGATCCTATATAAAAGGGGTGGGGTAAGGAACATCGCTCATCCATCCTTAGGCAAACAGGGTTATGCTGCTATTATTGATGTTTGACCCCAGCGTTTCACCAAATAACTTTTAGTCTGTAGAACAGACACATTTAGAGATAAGCAGAAAATGTGTAATACAATGTATGTGTGATGTCCTCCACTCATGAACTTGAGAATGATCAGGCCACAGGTACATTTCCTGAGCAAGTCTTTTTGTAAAAAATTGGCAAGTATAAAACAGCCAGGGATATTTTTTAAAACCAACGTTATTTAACCAAAGTTACTGTCTTGGTGTGTTTTTAAGTATTCACAAATAGTCAATTAGGGCTCATTTTGATTATGCAAATTGACATAGGGCATAAATAAATATTGTATAACTTCTCACAAATACTGAAAACACTGTAGATATTATTTTAAAATAGAGCAACTCAGTTCTACCATTTTGTTCTCAAGATGAGAAATTTATTGTTATAATGAAACATAAAGGGCTAATTTCAAATCTACAGAAAAGTAGAAATCTATGTCAGCAACTTGCTTAACTACTACCTGAACCACATACTGATCCATAAATATTCATAACATTTGCTTTTTAATTATGCTTTTGTTAAGCTAGAAATATTTATTTGAATCTCTCATGCTAAAAGAGGTAGAAGGGGGGAAGTTTACAAGAAGGTATGGCTTACTCAAATGATACTCAAAAAAATGATTCCTTTTTCCTTTGATCTTCTCGGATTTGCCACATCAGAGCTAGCATGTCTAGCACTACCAGGAAAAAGCTTTTAACTCTGATATTTTTGTCACCTAAGAAAGAGCACTGCTGGGAACTACAACCTTTTAATTGTCATATATGGTATTTAGAGTCTAGCTAATGGTCCCAATTCTCATTTACCCTAAACACTTTTACTCTGCTCCAGTGGTACTTGGAAAACTGAAATGGAGTACAAATTACACCTAAGTCCATTTAAAGCTATTTAATGATGCCAGAATAATGCTAACAGGTCTAAGTATAAATGAGAATCAGATATTATAGATGTCTGTCTACTAAGATATAAGGACTGTTTTGCCAGCCCTAACAATGCAATTTGACATGGCTTTACTTTTTTCTTATCAATTGCAACTGTTGCTCACTTTTCTTGTGAGAAGAAGAAAATACCAAATTAACGTGGGGCTGTGAAGTAAGAGAGTGGTAAGACACTTTACGCTTTTTAACTTCAGCACACTTAGCTAAATTTACAATTAAAATTACTGCATTACAAATCATTTTGTATTTTGGATAGAACTTCCACCTGTTACCTGATGCCATCAACCTTTTTTAGGTGACAACACCCACCCTTACCCATTCTCATATACTTTTTAGAATAAGCAGAAATGGATTCCGAGAACCTTGAGATAACTAATGTTTCAGATCAGGAATGCCTTAAGATAAAGATCTTTCTCATTTGCAGCCACACAAACGACAGCAAACAGGTTTTCCCTGTCATCACTGGGATGTTTATATTGTGTTCATAATATGTGAAGTAAATATACAAATGTCCTAGAAAGAATCATCTGGGTGAACATGCTGCTAATTTAGTATGTGACCATTGGTGCCCTGTGAGAGGACATTAACTTCACAGTTTCCCAGTGTTAGCAATCAGTAGTAATGCATAAAGAGTGAAAATGTGGCATGGTTGGCACCACTTGTGCAGTAGATTTTACCCCAGGATGCAATGGAAATGAACAATCATTCAGCAAGCCTGTTTGGCCGGCCTCTAATTTATCATGGCTTACATCTCTTGCCTGCCAGCAGAGCTGAATTCATATGTTATTGTCCCAAACCTGTCACTTTCTGGACTGCTTTTTAATCTTCCACCCAGAATTACATTCAGAAAGGTCACTGCTATCCAATTAGAACCTTATCAAAGATGCACATGCAGCCTGGATTCCTGCTTATCGAGAATGGGTCATAAATCCAGAAATTGCACATCACAAAGTACCATTACCATAATGAATAACTGAAGGGGGGGGAGTAAAAAACAACAACTGTATTTGCCAAGCAAGCCATTGATTCCTTCTTCTGTGTTGTTCATAGCAGGTATATGACAGAAACAGGTTCTTAAGAAGAGAAATATATATAGGAATAGAAGATAATCAAGGACACTTAAACAAGTTAATTCATTTCTTATTTAGATAAAATGGTTCCAGCAGTGTTCTGGTAAAACACCGTATTTTATTCCTCGAAACAAAAGATTTATTATTTCAACAATAAAGTAAAGTGGATGCCTATATAAAAAAGTCAAAAAAAGTAATTCATATTCAGGTCTATGTGAACAACTATGATGTGAGTACTACCAAATTCATTAATTGTATGTTTTAAATTCTGAATACCATAATTCACCACATAATTGTCGCCACTGCACAATAGTCCAACCTTGTTTTTCCACTCAAAAAATTGGAAGATTACCTTTCATCGTGTAATCATCGCATGGCAACTTCTGAGACTCTGCCAGGCCTCAGGCCCCTTCCTTGCCTTCTCCAGCCTCCTTTCTAAAAGATAAACGTAAGGGATCCAAGACCCCTTGCACCTTGCCAACTCTGCCATGAGTTTCCAGGTCACCTTGGTCGCCTCCTGGAGGCGCTGCATGGGGGCCCAGTGCAGCCGCCTCTCCTAGAAGCAAGCGAGATAGGGGTCGGCATGGGGGGCTCCTGAAGCGGTGAGGGCCAAAGTCCAGGCTCTCACTGGCGTGCCAGCCCCGAGTGGAGGTACCGTAGCTGTAGGACACAAGGCAAAGGGAAACCTGGCCCAGGTTAATGCTGCTGCTGTTGCCGCCGCCGCCGCCTTAGGCTCACACCCCAAGACATCCCAACAGGTAAGCAACTATGTCTGCCAACCGTACGCAACCCCTTCCTCCACCCCTTCCTCCACCCCTGTAATTCACCACATAATGGTCACACACCCCTTTTCTGGGGGAGTGGGGAATGACACAAAATCTGCAACCATTATGCAGTGACTTACAAGTACTTAGTTTGGTGATGCTTGCTGAATCAAAGGAAAATATTTTACGTGTATTCAAAAGGTAGTTTAAAATTGTGGCTGTAGTACATTAATGAATTATAGGGTGACCTGAGGAATGCACACCTTTCATAAAGTGAATTAGTTACCTTCAATCTTAAAACCAAGTTGATTCACATGTTGTGAAAGATTCAGAAGTCACATTCACCATTTATTTCATGGGCTGCATGGAAATAATCCAGCAAGAGACTGGCCCATGTGGGCATGATGCCATATACTCAAGCTCATCTACAACAACTCAAAGCTATGATCCGCAGACCAGTGATCACCAGTGATCAGATGCTGATCTGTGGCAACTCTACCACAGCCCAGGTTAGGTGGGATGTGTCAGGGATCAAATACTAATCCGACACATTTGTGGGTGGGGAGTGGGATTACCAATGCACCACATGAGATAGTTCGAAAAGCACTGTTGTACAGTTACCTACTTCTTCCATTTTCAGTTTCCTCCACTAAGTATTTTATTCTAAACAATCTCTTTCAAAACCAAAATGAATTACCAATCATTTCGGTTATAGATATTTCACTAAGCCATCTTTGAACAGGACCCTTCTTATTTGCTTCTGAGTTTTCACACATTTAAACAAGCAGAATGCAATTTTTCATTCATTAAGATTGAAAGGGGAAAAGCAGTCAGTGGCACTACAGAGAGCAACTCTGAAGAGCCCTCTGCAAGTTTCTCCAGTTGATTTTTGTTTTACGTTGATCATGAGAAACAGAAACTATACCCAGGGATTTTTAAATGTTGACAGGCATATATTTTGTAGCTGTACATTACTTGCTGACATCTAGTGCTGTCAGGATCTGTCTTCATGCAAAAGTGATTGACCTTTGTTCATAGTTATCAAAACAAGTGAAGAAAAGCAATAGCAAAAGCAAACAGTTTGACTAGAGCAGCTGTTGTCCAACTTCAGTGGTCAGATAAATAAATATTTTCATGGAAATTATCAGCTTTATTTTTTCAGTCAATTCTACCTAAAGATTCTCATCAGCTTAAGAAACTGGTCAAAATATTTACAGTGCTATCCATCTTATTTTTAAAACTCACTGCCATTAAAAATATGTAGTAATTCTGCTGTTAATAGCTCTTTTTAAAGTATCTTTCATTGAAGCAAAAAAACCCAAACAAACTACAAGCAATTCTTACAGAACAATTGCAGACTTGAGTGTGCGGTCAAAGGTCCTGAAAACCTAAATGCAGTAATTTACATCCTTATTATTATGCAATGAATGACAAGAAAAAAGGCCCTGTGTTTCCATTCATGCTAGTAAGGTCCCCCAAATTTTACCAACCCCTCCGTCCCTGCACTTATGCCTTCTGCCCTACTGAAAACTCATCCTGAGGGGTTGGGAGGCACTCCATAACTGAATGAGATATGATAAAGAGGGCTGCAGTAGGTAGAGGGGGGTCATAAAAAAAACCAGGTGTCCCAGCTTGCACAAGAAGAAATATTTCTGCCACCATTGGATGAACCTACAGAAACAAAGCCTATGGATCATGGTACATAATAAGGATGGTTAGGAAAGTGTCCGCTTTGGCTGCCAGAAATTTCTAGCACCTTTGATAACTGGATGAAAGAGGTATCAATCGTTAACTCTCTACTAATTTTCTTAAGTCAGTAACATGTTTGCTAAAACACAATAATACATATTGGTGAATTATCTTGCACTAAAGGTAAAGGTAAAGGGACCCCTGACCATTAGGTACAGTCGTGACCTAATGCTGCTTCTGGCAAACCAGAACAGCGCACAGAAATGCCTTTTACCTTCCCGCCAGAGCGGTACCTATTTATCTACTTGTACTTTGATGTGCTTTCAAACTGCTAGGTTGGCAGGAGCAGGGACCGAGCAATGGGAGCTCACCACGTCACGGGGATTCGAACTGTCGACCTTCTGATCGGCAAGTCCTAGGTTCTGAGGTTTAACCCACAGCACCGCCTGCGTCCTTGCTCCTAAATACGCAGCACTATGTTTTGACTTCCAATCCTTCTAAAAGTCTTGATTTGTACTAATTCTAAAAATTTTAAGCATGTTTCCATCATCTTACTGTAAACTAAGCACAGAATTCTTGACATTTTATTATTATTCATTTTATTATTACTGCAACGTAATGGTTACCAACTTTACAAACATGCAGCAAGCCTTTTTCATTTATTTTTTCTTCTACAGAGTTATTGTTCCAAAGCACTGCACAGTCACAATTGTCAAAGTACACGAACTATTTCAACAGCAAAGTGCAATGCTAGGATGAATACTGTTTCAGCATTTCCAGGTAGCCCATTTCTGGAGGGCTGGCAACTCAAACACAACTGTATCTTAGTACAAAACATTTCAACCTTCATTAATTAGATTTCAGCAGGAGCGGAGGAAAGTAAGAACACAATAGGTTTCTTGGTTTTCCCCTCTTGCCTTTTTTTTTTTTTTTTTACAAATTATTTGTATTTAGGTCTTGTGTTTCTATTCTGTGAAATAAAGTGACCTTTCTAAAGATTAATTTCTACATGCAAACTTATTTCCTTTGAATGCATCACCCCATACAACCAGCTCTGGGGCATGTCTGAGTAAAGGCATAATCAATGCCTTAAGGTCATGTCATGTCCCATTGCTGACATTTACATGACACTCTGCCTCTGTATAAATTCTTGTAGAACTTCAAGTGATATATGTAAGTGGAAACTAAACAAGATGATAACCAAGCAGTTTACTTGGTGCTAGGGCTACTTACCTATTAAAAGGGACATATTCCAAAAAATGGTGATGAACTTATGTGCCACTAGAAGGAACAAGCAGAACCCGCCCCCCAAAAAATCAAACTTATATGTCTAAAATTTTAGTTACACAAACAGAAACTCCACTTACAGTTCTGTACTAGGGGGATATACAGCTTTATTAAAATAATCTTGTATTTGCACATTAGGCTTCCTACTTATTCTTTAGAAGGTACCCGTTTCTCTTCATTGCAGCATTCAGGTCAGGAATGCTCCATATACACTGATAAGGCAAGTACAGAAAGACAAACAGATTTTTATCTCGGGTTCATGATTCCTTGCATCATGAAAATACACATTATACTCTCTTTTATTTCCATATATAAGTTTAAAATTGTATAATTTTAAACTATATTTTAATACCAGTACAGAAAAGACACATAATAAATAAATAAATAAATAAATCATTAAGATATAATTTCTAAACTTCTGCACTGTACAGACAAAAGAGAAACTGATCCCCATTTTTCAGTCCCAAAAACTGTCTAGAATACCTTCCAAACTCCAATATCTTCTCTCTGAACCACTGTCTTGCCAGAGATTACAGTTTGAGGAGACAGTGGTACCTCGGGTTACATACGCTTCAGGTTTCAGACTCAGTTAACCCAGAAATATTACCTCGGGTTAAGAACTTTGCTTCAGGATGAGAACAGAAATCGTGTGGCAGCAGCAGGAGGCCCCATTAGCTAAAGTGGTGCTTCAGGTTAAGAACAGTTTCAGGTTAAGAACGGACCTCCGGAACGAATTAAGTACTTAACCCGAGGTACCACTGTATTTCTAACATCCTGAATCACATACAGACATATGTCAGAAAGAAGCTCTGCCCACGATACAACAAACCCAGCACATTTTGAGAAGCAACCAGCATGTGTTCAAAAATAGCCAAGAAACAAGATGTTCAGGACCAAGATTTTGTTACAGATATTTTTATTAATGGGGAAAAAAAAGGAATTGAGGCAAACCAATGACACAAAGCTTTAAGTCTCTTGTTCAAGCTGGACAAAACACTGGCCTTCATCGGTGATACTCCTGATTTATGTTATGTTATCTGCTGAAAATAGAACAGGCTTTGATTTTAAAACAAAATTATGTGGGATGGATTTCCATTATTTAGAAGCCAATTTACTTAGCTATAGGAACGTCTAGCATTTAAGAGGTTCCTAGATGTTTCCCTTAACACAATTTATTGCAAGCCCATACAACTTGTGACTCACTGAGCTGAATGCAGCTTGTAAATACAAGAAGTAATACCTGGCAAGGTTCTTGCCAATGTACATACTTTAGTAGTAGTCCCTGGTACCTGGTATCCTGGTTCCCATTCAGTCTATAGTGGCAGAGCACTTACTTGAGAGTAAAGAAAATATCTTTATAAACTCAGATAAAAGGTACAGACTCAGCAACAGTTGTAGAGGCAAGAGGACCACCGAACAACAAGAGATAGAGATACGAAATGCTGGGTGGGGGGAAAGCATATAAACAAATGTTTATATGCTGCCTTTCATCCCTCAAAAGGACCTCCAAACCATAAACATATATCTTAATGTGGTAAAAAGCAAGAGCAGTGAAATTTGCTCTTCAACAACCCTAAAAATATAGTAAAAATAAATTAATTCACAATGGCTACTAACCCCCTCCATGGTTGGAGGCAATAATGCTTCTGAATACCAGGAAGAGAATACAGGAAGGGAGAGTGCTCTTGCACTCAGGTCCTTCTTGCAGGCTTCTCATGGGCATCTGGCTAGACACTGTGAGAAAAGCATGCTAGCCTAGGCTGGCCTGATCCAGTGGCGCTGTTCTCATACAGCACCATACAAAAATATACATGAGTTCTAATAACAGCTATATAGGTTTGTCAAACCTAAACCAGATGCTGCCTCCTATGCTGGCTAATAGGTTTGTGGCACACCATCCACCTTGGTTTAACCATCAGTATTGGTGCAGCAGTTGTTGATCTCGTGAGGAATATAAATTTCTAGCATCGCATTGGAATTGACAGTCAACCAGAGGGTTAT